AAAACCCTGGGCTTTTTTTGCAGCAGGAACTCCTTTGCATGTTAGGCCACACACCCCTAAAGTAGCCAATCCTAATGAGTTCCTGCTGTTGGGCGTGGCCTATTATGCTAATTAGTTCCTGCTGGGCGTGGCCAACTCGGGAGCCAGCCGGAACTCCGTTCCTGTGCGTTCCTGCCCAAAAATAGCCCTGATGCTGGGTGACCTGGGGTTCTCAGCATAACCTCTCTCACAGGGTTGTTGCTATGAGGGTAGAATGGAGGAGAATGGTGGAAGGTGGTTTGGGTGGGAAGTGCCATCAAGTCGCAGCCGACTTGTGGTGACCCCTGTAGGGCTTTCAAGACAAGAGATGTCCAGAGGTGGTTTGCCCTTGCCTGCTTCTGCATAGCAACCCTGGACTTCCTGGGTGCTTTCCTACCCAAGTACTAACCAGGGCCAACCCGGCTTAGCTCCCAAAGGTGTGACAAGGACGAACTAGCTTGGGCCACCCAGGTCATGGCATAAAGTTATTTAATGGAACCTTTAATCTCAGTTGGGTTCCATTTATATTTCTTACAGAGCAGTTGCAGGTCAGATTCAAATAATTTCATCATATGGTTTATCCAGAGAAGCAGCTATGGGGAAGGGGAGCCAGGCACGGGCATTTGGCATGTACGAACACATGTCTGCACATCGCCAATGTTCCCTCTAAGCAGAGTTAGTGTGAGCTAGCTCCCAGTTTTCTAACCCCTGGCTCACACGTTTTTGTCTTCACTCAGGAAGGAGGGCTCCAGAGAAAACTAATTTATGCCATAGCCAAATCACCTGCTCATAATTTTAAGGCCAGCAGCTCACAAAGTAGAATTTCTGCTCACAGGACTCCATAGCTTAGAGGGCGCATTGGTACACCCTTGTCCGAGTCCAGGTGTATTCCTCTCCCACCACAAGCCAGAGTGTATGGTCGGAAAGTCTAGTTTATTTATATACTGCCTTTCCATTAAAAGTCCCCCAAAGTAGTACAAAATAATAAGATCAATAAAGAGCTAAGAGGTACAATAAAAAAGTCAGTTTAAAATTCAGCTAAGAAACCTGCAGTGCAGCAACCTTGCTGACGTGTAGATATGTCTGGTCAATTTATTTAGTATGTTTTTAATGCATCCTTCCTCGAAGGAGCTCATAAGAACATCAGGATCTAAGAGAAGCCATGTTGGATCAGGCCAATGGCCCATCCAGTCCAACACTCTGTGTCGCATAGTGGCCAAAACTCAGGTGCCATCAGGAGGTCCACTAGCGGGGCCAGACCTCCAGAAGCCCTCCCACAGTTGCCCCCCCCCAAGCACCAAGAATACAGAGCATCACTTGCCCCAGACATAGTATTCCATCCATACCTTGGAGCTAATAGCCACTGACGGACCTCTGCTCCATATGTTTATCCAGTCCCCTCCTGAAGCTGAGCTGTCTATGCTTGTAGCCACCACCACTTCCTGTTGCCGTGAATTCCATGTGAATTCACCTTTTTTGGTGAAGAGGTACTTCCTTGTATCTACTCTAAGTCTACTGCTCATTAATTTCATTGCATATCCACGAGTTTTTGTATTGTGAGAAAGGGAGAAAAGTACTTCTTCAAAGCAGATGTTCTATAACCAAGCTCACCCCTTAACTGAAGACCTGGAGGAGACTAATGAAAGGTGAAGAAGGGGTGTGTGGCTCAGTGGTAGAGCATCTACTTGGCATGCAGAAGGTCCCAAATTCAATCCCTAGTATCTCCAGTTAAAAGATCTGGCAGTAGTAGAAGAAGAAGAGATTGGATTTATACCCCACCCTTCACTACCCAAGGGAGTCTCAGAGCGGCTTACAAACTCCTTTCCCTTCCCCTCCCCACAACAAACACCCTGTGAGGTTGGTGGGGCTGAGAGAGCTCTGACTGAAACTGCTCTTTTTCAAGAACAGCTCTTATCAGAACTACGGCTTGCCCAAGGTCATCCAGCAGGTGCATGTGGAGGAGTGGGGAATCAAACCCGGTTGTCCCAGATTAGAGTCCGCGCACTTAACCACTACACCAACTGCCTCTCGGTGATGTGAAAGAAAGTAGGTGATGTGAAAGACCTCTGCCTGAGACCTTGGAGAGCCGCTGCCAGTCTGAGTAGACAATACTGAGCTTGATAGGCCAAGGATATGATTTAGCATAAGGCAGCTTCATGTGTTCATGTAGAACTTGGGTAACTTTAATAAGGTTTCTTAGGAGTTCTTCCCTCCAAAACGCCAACCAGATGCATACCTGCTGAGCTTCAATAAGGCTGCTATTTTTTACCTTCTGACTATTAACCAGTGTAAGCCACCCTGAGCCTGCTTTTGCGGGGAGGGCAGGGTACAAATTAATTAATTAATTAAATAAATAAAATGAAAATTAGCAAAAACAGGGAGACAACAGAGTTCCGTTCTCCCTCCCCAGCAACAGGTATCCCCAAATCAGGACAACCGCTAGGTTATTGGGACAGTGTATGCAGTTTAGGAGACTGAACCAATCCGCCAGCAAAAGGAAGCTTTTGTATAACTTGAGACTAAACCGAAATGAATTTGCACTGGGCATACAGCAGGCTGGAAATGGCACCTTTCGCTCTAGAACTCAAACATTTAATCCTGCAACCATCTGAGCTGGTTGTGGTCATTCAGTGGTAAGGGAGAAGTCACTCTGTGCATTCTCAGAGGCTGGACTTTGGCCTTGCAGACCGATTGAGAGGAGGCCACCCCTGGCTGCAGTAATACTCCACACAAACCATCAGATGTTGTCCAACTGCATAAAAGACTTCAGGAGCCTTTCATCTCGGCTCTGCTTTATCACATCACTAATTAAAAAGAAGCCCATTCATCGACTCCAGATCTAAGTCAGCTCGCTTCATAAAAGAAAGAACATCTCTCCATTATGGCATCTCCCAATCATCCTTTGATGTCTCAGCTGGGACCAGCGCTATTGTAATGAGATGCAGGTTCCTTGGCAGAGTTTCAGGCCCAGCTCTTAATCAAACTCCATTATGATCACAGAACGCAGGGGGGTTCATTTTTGCCAATCTAATATGCCGCGGAAATCAATGGGCATTAGCAGACTTCTCCCCGCATCCTACAACAGCGTTTAGCTACTTCTGATAATTATTTCCCTCCCCCCTTCCTAGTGATCATTGATCCACCAGCTCTGATTGCAAAACATCCGATTCTGTTTTCGGGTTTGCCATTATGCAAAGTTTCACACTCCATTAGCATCTGCCAGCATTTAATAGCAAAACAGCTCCAACATGCTAGAGCTTTCTGATGTCCCCTGAAACACACAAAAGAGCTCTCACTTATGTAACCAATAAGCATCATTAAACACAAGCGCTTCCTGTGGCCCCTTCTCCCCCACTGCCAATTTTCTCTCATTTACAAAATTAAAGTGACTTGCCGCTTTGTTGACTAATGTGTTCCAAACCTGGAGAGGAGCCGGGAAGCTAGACTCAGCTCTCTAGAGCTGTCCCTTAATGCCCAGGAACTGACCCGGTTAGGGATGCTTCCAAACCTAATGCAGGTTACTTCCTAATTTTGGGATTCTGGTCTACTTGCCCTTGTTTCCAAAGAGGAACCGATCAATGTTCCCTCTAAGCTGTGGAGTCTTGTGAGCAAAAATTCTACTCTGGCACTAAAGTTGTGAGCGAGTGATTTATTTATTTAATTAATTTTATTTATACCCCACCCTCCCCGCACGCGGGCTCAGGGCGGCTTACAATATACGGGTGTAATACACCATCGTTCAACAGTAAAGGAACACAGTGCAGTAAAAACACAATTTGGCTACTGCATAAATTAGTTTGCTCCGGAGCCATCTTTCCTGAGCGAAGACAAAAATGTGTGAGCCGGAGGCTAAAAAACTGTGAGCTAGCTCACACTAACTCAGCTTAGAGGGAACATTGGGACCGATGCATCTAGGACCCACCACTGTGCAAATGCAAACTTCTCCCCAAATTTTGGAATTCTGAACTACCTGGTCTGGTTTCTAAAGAGGAACCGATGCATCTAGCATTCACCATTGTGCAAATACAAATTTCTTCCAGAATTTTGGAATTCCGAACTACCCAGTCTGGTTTCTAAAGAGGAGGCTGTGCACCAAGAGCCTGCCATTGTGCCAATGCAAATGTCT